CCCCTACCTGGGCCCCTGGGAGGAGGGCTACTCGCCCAGGGACAGCTACTCGAGCCGAAACTACCCGAGCGCCCGCGACCCTCGAGATTTCGCGCCGTCGCCCCGAGAGTACACCTACCGCGATTACGGCCACTCCAGTGCCCGGGACGACTGTCCATCGAGAGGCTACGGCGACCGAGACGGCTACGGCGGTCGCGACCGTGACTACGCGGATCATCCGAGCGGAGGCTCCTATCGAGACCCCTTTGAGAGCTACGGGGACCCGCGCAGCGTCGCTTCCGCGCGGGGTCCCCCGCCATCTTACGGCAGCGGAGGCCGCTACGACGAGTACCGTGGCTGCTCGCCCGACGCCTACGGCGGCGGCCGCGACAGTTACAGCAGCGGCCGGAGCGACCGCTACTCGAGGGGCCGCGACCGGGTCGACAGAGCCGATCGCGGGGTCCCCCCGTCCATGGAAAGGGGGTGCCCCCCACCTCGCGATTCTTACAGCCGGTCGGGCCGCAGGGTTCCCAGAGGCGGAGGCCGCCTAGGAAGCCGCTCAGAGAGAGGGGGAGGCCGGAGCAGATACTAAATACCATCAGACTTGGGACCAAAATCTGTGTTCAAAGAAGCTAATGAAAAGAAGAACCTATTCTATGGTAACTGCCCAAGGACTAGTATAAGGAAGAGTTGATTTTACGTTTTGAAAATTATTTGTTAACTTCCTCTTCATAATTTTTGTGCTTTGGGAGGAAAAAGTTAAAACTCGTTCAGATTTCGTTTTGGAATTGTTAACGTTTCTTTCAACAAGCTCATGTTAAAAGTATGACTTGAATCTGCGTACTAGTCTTATATTTACAAGTAGAAATTATAAAGACTCCCGTCCTCAAGTTTCTTGATAAATGAGACAAACGGTTTTAAGAACTTTTTACAAATATTTGCCCACCTAAGACGGAAAAAGGGATCATTCTGTCTATTCAAACCAACTAAATTTGGGGTGGGGGAGGAAGAGTGGGAAGATTTGGTCTATGCTACTCTTAAGATTTCAGGGGTCTTTCAAACTGAATCCCAGTATTCCCAGTATTAAAAAACAAAAGACAAGAAACAAAAACCACATATCAGATTCATTTTGTAAATCAAAAAAAAAAAAAAAAATGGATAATGCTTACCGTATTTTGCCTTTTTGCTTTTCCTTTGAGCCTCTGCAGACAGAATCTTTTGTCCCCTTGCTCCCCAGAATAGTATTCATATGTGCTGAGCAAGGATGGAATACTAAATTAAAGATCTGACCAAGCAACCACAAAGCTGCAGGACAAAAACCGCAAAACAAACATCATTAATAGCGTTTTTTTCCACCACCAAATTAATTATTAAGAAACGAGTAGAAAATATACCAATGGTGGATTTGGGGACCATAATGGCTTTAATTCCTAACTCCAAGCTACTTGTCCTTGGCACTAGAGCCAGCTGCTGGCTTCTGTGGAGAGAACTGGGCTGCTTTCTCTAAGGGTGGAGGACTTAAATGCGAGCAGCATCAGAGCTCAGAAGCTCAGAATCCCTGAGAGAGCTTGGCATTTCAACATCTGAGAATGAGGATATCTCCACCTGGTATGAGGGACTTGGGTCTTCCTGTCCACAAAAGGCAAGGGAATGGCTTGAGTGTTCCATACTCTTAAGGTGAGGAAAGGGCTTGAGCAGACAAAGATCAGAGGTTTCCTCCAGGGTGCCTCAGGGATGTAACAGTCTCCTCTTTGTACCCCAACCCTGGAGCAAGAAACACCTTTTCCATTCAACACCTGTGAATTTCCCTATTTATCTGAGAGAATGTACAGTCAAGGAACTCTAGCAACTAGACAAAGAAGGATCAGGTTAAGATATTAGCCATGTTCAGTGTAATAATTGCTGGAAAAACACCAGAACAACAACAAAGTACCTAAAGAGGTGTGAATGTAACACACATACACAACTGTAAAAACATGGTTTTTCAACAAAATAATAGTAAAGTAGGTGAATTACAGGAGAGGCCGCATTAGTGGCCCAGAAGACTAAATTTAAGAAATACCTAAAAAAAAAAAAAGTCCAGGAATTAATCTAGCAAACATAGGTAAGACCTCTATGGAAAAGTTGTTAATCTTTATTAAAGGACATAAAAGAAGACTAAATAAATGGAGAGTCATATCGTGAAATGGTTGGGAAGACGTTTTATCATATCCTCCACCTCACCAAATTAATTTGGAAAATCAACTTCAAATGAAATTATAACTTTTTTTCCACACAGCTCCCCTCCTCTCTTTCCTCATAACACCATTTATGTGTGTTGATCAACGATGGAATACCAAAAAAAAAAAAAAAAAAATTGGCCAACCAACCACAAAACTGAAAAAAAAAACAACTTCATTTCACTATCAACAAATTATTAAACACGTTAAAATAAAAAAGGAGACACTTTTGGGAGATTTAGCTGTTCCTAAAACTTATATGGTGGAATAAGAGAATAAATAAAGCAATTCTGAAAAAAATTAGAAAGGACACACTCTACCAGAGAACAAGACTTAGTACAAAGATCTAGTAGTTTAAGCTGTATGTTATCAACAGACAAGGATAGACAGACCAAAACAGGCTAGAAACAGGGCCACTTGTATATGAAAACATGACAGATAGTTTTAATGTCATTGGTGAAAGGATGGACTTTTTTAAAAAATGGCAATTTCTTTGCCAAAAGATAAAATGAGATTTCCTAACTCACAGCATACACAAAAATACATTCTAGATGGTCCGAAGATAGAAACGTGAAGAGAAAAATTTTAAATACTTAGAAGAAAATGAAGAAATGTTTTACACTGGGGTAGAGAATTCCTTTTTAAGACATAAACAGCACAAGCATAGAAGAAAAATGTTAATACCATTTTCTGCATCATTATTAAGATTTTTCATGATAAAGTACACAAAGTGAAAGATCAGACCATAGATGGGGAGAATTTATTTGCATTGAATTAACTTCCAAAAGAATGCTTAGAAATCAGTTTAAACCCACCAAGAAAAAAATGGGCAGAAGAACTCATACTTTTCTGATAGATGTATAAACTGACCCAATCACTTTGAAAATAATTTTGACAATGCCTAGTAATGCTGAAGGGTGCGTACCTATAACCCAGAAATTTCACTTCAAGGAGAGGACCTAGAGAAATTTGTACGTGTACACAAGGAGATACACATGAAATTGGGCCTTACAGCACAATTTATTTATAAAGTAGAAACAGCCCAGTACCTGGAGTGGTGGATCAACTGAGGCGTACTGAAGTTCAAAGCAGACGCAAACGTGAATCAGCCAGACCCACATGCATCAACATAGGTAAATATTGAAATATTTTGGGAAATTGCGTAAATATAGATATAACTAATAAAAGGACAAAAATGTGACGAGTGCTACACAGAAAGTCAGGATGCTTGGTGTAAGGAGGAAAGGAAAGTGGGCTGAGTGGTGGGCTTTAGTTGAATCTGTAATGGTTTATTTCTTAAGGGATGGATTAGAAGCAAAAATGACGATGTTAACATCTTAAATTTCTGTGGTCTGCATTGGCATCTCATTCTATAATTTCAAAATACTTCATAATATAAATTTTAATATGAAAAATAGAGCTTAGCACCAGAATGTAATGGTTACTCAAAAAGTGTTATCTATTATTCTAAAACACTTTTGGTTGCAGCACTTGACAGTGATTCCCCCAGCTTTATTCTCATTAATATGCGTGATGCCTTATTCTGTTTGACTCAGTTTATAAAAACTTCCTATTCTAGACTGCTTATAGCTAGCTCACCATAACCTCAAGGATAGAAATTGTAAATCTGAGAACCAAATCTTAGGGAAAAGTGCACTTTCCCCCCCTTGACATTCTTTTTGAAGCATAGTAATGAAAAACTTTTTCCAATTAACAATTCTGTTGAGTAATTTCCTGAATATTAAAACTATTATTAAAAAATGAGGTGTAATCATTTGGAAATAAAGACTTCACCCAGAGCTTAGATGAGTTCAAGAGATCATAACATAGAAAGGCTGTGGATTTCTCGTGTACATATGTAACAGCCCTAGTATTTCTTTACTGAATATTACTTTATTAAAGCTATCTTTGTAGGAAAATATGCAAGAGATCTACTCAGCTGAGAACTCTTATTTATAATTGCTTTTGTAATGTCAGGGGCAGGGAGGGAGCTTGCACGTGTGCAAATAAGGTGGGTATAATTTAAGAAATGCGCATCTCATAACCAAAAAACCTTTATGTTCTCTATCTTGAGCTTGCCTTCTCAGCCTACTCCTGAGACCCCATCCACATTCCTTCTGTCTAAAACAGGAGTATCCAGACTGTCCATGTGGCAACAAACTGCATTACTAAATATTTTCTCACCAGGTGAAGCCTGAACATCTTTCATCTCTGATTGCAACCTGAATCCTACTGCAGGTCCTGAGGTTCTCTTAGAGTGTTGGAGGTAGACTTCTTTCCCCCTTTTCCTTTTTTTAGCTTCCTTTTCCCTTGCCTCAGGCCAGGTAAGATGGGAACTTTTCTGCCTATGTTGCTCTAACCTGGGGGCCTCTTAAATTTCTCAGCCTTTAATTAGGTGGGGTCCATGTGGTGATGTGATTTTCCTTCTCTTCCTCCACAGAAATTTCCTTTTTGGGGACAGTTACTATGCCCTCTTTGGGGCATATTCAGGAACTCACCAGGCAGAATCAGACTGTTGCTTTTGCTGTGCATGGAATCCAGTGGTAGTGGGAATTCCTTTGAGTCCTTATGTTGTGTTTGTGGTGACATTCCTTCAAAAGCTAATTTCTGTTACAGTGTAGCACTTTGAAAAACTCTTTAAAAACGATGGTGAATCTATTTTGTAGGTGACACTGAACATGAGTATCAAGTGCAAAAAATAAACTAACACTGGAGGAACTATAGAGCATTGATGACCCTATCAAATATATTCCACTATCATATTTATTAAAATGCTCAAGTAGAATGAAAAATCAGTATCATGAAATTTTTAGGAAAAAATAATGAGGCTTCCCTATGTTTGGAGGCTGTTTGTTATAGAAGAAAGGTAATTTTTTGGTTTTATGAATGAGTCCTCATTCTGTTATATGTGTGGCTTGGGCAGATATTTATGTAATACTATATCAAGCACTGTGCTAATACCATGCCAACAAGGCAAATGGCAAAGCAGCACATATACTTGGCTGCTGAATTCACTTTCATTAAGAAAGAGTCACAGATATATAGCAGTAGCAGTTGGTGGCTACCCAGATGCATTCTAGGGGAATGCACAGAGATGTGGGATGAGATATCAGTTTTGGGAGAGATCAACTATTTGGGCTCTGGAGCTTTTGAGTTACATAATACAGAAGTGGCAGCCCCACCCTGGAATAATTAGGGGTTAGGATATAATAGCAATACGTCATGGCAGAACTTTAGTTTTAACCCTCTTGTTACTCAGTGCTCATGGTTGGGATTTGAAGGAGTTAACGCCTTGATAATAAAATCTATCTGCCTTACTTTAGACTCATTGGAAATGGGACACTGAGACTCCTGGTGGAGGTTTTTGACCAGT